ATCGCTGTGAAGCACGAGGCCTGGCCTCATTGAATTCATTATTAGAGTTTTTTTATAGTATTTGTTTTTATTCTCTTTCTCTTTCTTAACAAAAGAAGGTAAGCAAACAATGCCCACCCAGCACTAATAACTATACTCCCTCCAATTATTCAAGGTCAGTAATTAGTTGGTTTAGGTTGGATTTCAGAAACTTTCTTCTTATCTTCTAAAAGTTTCAATAATTCCTGTTTTTGTTCTTCACTAAGTTCAGAATTGAGAATTTCATTTCTAATTTCTTCTATTTTTTGAGGGTTATTTTTGTCTGTTTCTAGGGCTTTTATTTTTGTCTCTAATTCGGCATTTTTTTGTTGTAAGGCAAGAATAATTTGGTCTTTGTCTTCATTTAGTGAATCATCTTTTTCTAATGGAGGAAGAGTTTCTTTTGTTTTCTTCTTTTTTTGGTTAGGGTTCTCTCAATCATCTCCTGGGACATGGTATCGTTTACCAAACTTTCTTCTTATTTCATCTTCATACTTTTGTTTTACTAATGCAATTAATTTTTCCCTTAATTCACTAGACACTCCGTATAATTCTAGTTTAATTATTTGGTCAATCGAATAATCTTGGGGATTAGTTAATATTTGTTCAACTTTTTCGGTATTACGGAGGGCTACAAAGTCAGTTTCTTTGTCATCAATTCTTAATATCTTTAAATTAGGTAATTTTGTTAAATCATAGTCAAAACTTTCACTAGCAAATACCTTGCTTAATTTGGGGCAATTATCTAAAATTACTTCCTCTACGGCAAGCGAACAATTTTCCTCATCCTTTAATTCACCATCATAGTTATAAGTGTGGAGACAAAAGTTGCTACTAAAATCCAAATATTCTAAACTTACGCAATTACTGGCATTAATGGAAATTAACTTGCTTTCCCTACAAGAAACTTGTTTTAATTTAGAAAGATTGCTAATGTTTAATTCTTCAATATTATTTTCAGCACAGTCTAAAATTTCCAATTTGTCGCAACCTTCTATGGAAATTTTTGATAATCTGTAATTTATCTCCTCACCTTCATGAACATTATTGGCACAATACAATTCTTTTAATTCATTTAAACCACTACAATCTAAATCCTCTAAACCACACCTAAAACAATACAAACTCTCTAATTTACTTAAATGCTTTACATCTAGCTTTTCAAAAAAATTATTATCACAAACTAAGTTTTTTAACTTGGTATTTTCACTTAAATCAAGTTCTTCTAATTCATTACCCGAACAATACAAATTCTCTAAATTAGGTAAACCACTTAAATCGATAATTCCAACTCTATTATGCCTAAAACTCA